GGTGGGAGCGGGGGTGTGGGGGAGAGGATGGGCATTGTGCCTGCCAGCGATCGGGTTTGGACGAGGATCGAGGGTTGGTGGCTGGGTAGGGGTGCGGCGCACGGCGATGCAGCCGTCTGTTGCTGGGTGTGCCGCGGCCGGCCGGCGCGGTGCAGGCGCCCCCGCCGCGCAGAGCTGCTGCCCCTCACCTCATCCCTGCACCCTCCCCGCCCGCCGCGTCCACGCCCCCACCCAACATTCCCCCTCCCCTTGGGACGCGGCTCGCGCCTGCCGACACCCGCGCGCCGCCCTGCCCCTCCCCGCCCGTCACCCGCACCCCTGCTTGACCCGCGCAGGTGTACGTGTGCGCTGCGTTCCTGGCGCGCTGGGAGCGGCCCCTGCTCACCATGGAGTTCCAGGAGCTGATGCTGTTCCTGCAGAAGCTGCCCACCCAGGACTGGGGGGAGGCAGAGATGGAGTCCATCCTGTCGTCCGCCTTTGTGCTGCGCAACGTCTGGCAGCACGCGCAGAGCCACCTGCAGGGTTGAGCCCGTGCGCGGAGCGCAAGGTCCGCATGCCAAACACGTGCTGCTGCCGTGGCAGGCCTTGCACTGCCCGCGCTGGGCCCGCCCCCGCCGGCCCGAGCTGGCGCGCACGGGTCGGGCGTGCCTGGAGTCGGCAGGCCCCACCCTAGCTCACACTGGGCACCCGCTGCAAAATTGCAGGCGTCCAGAGCGCAGATGCTGTAAGCTCTCCTTTTGCTGAGTTGTGGTGGCTGTCACATCCAAGGGGCCCGATCGCAATACGGCGAGACATGCATCATCAGCATGGTAGTGCCAATTGGATAGTCCTGTCCTCTCAGCAATAAGTGCCGCGTGTTGAAAGTGTTGATGACCGGGCGCTGCTGCAGTCCGCAACAACCGGTGGCATCACGGAGTGCAGGGCTGCACCACCGGTCAACATACCCGATGCAGCAGCCTCGATGCACACCTGGCGCTGTGCTCGGCATGAGCGTCAGACACACCCTTGACTGCCAAACGTTTGCAATGTTTTGATTGGAGACCAAGAAAGAAGACGTGAGCCCAGCGCTAGGCTCCAGGGCCGCACGAGGCTGCTGCAGGATGGGCGCCACGCGGCTGCAAACGTGGCTGGAGCCCACACGAGCAGATCCGCACAGCGCAGCTCCCACGCGACCATTTCCTCGCGACCATGTTGGTTACGAACTGGTTACAACTGCAAATTGGGGAAAGCGGGACGCCGCCCACGCAGCCGCCAAGCGCGCCCAACGACCCCCAACATGCCGCCGCTGCCGCTGCCGCAGCCGCTGCAAGCCAGCCCCCAAATCGGGCATGACTCCCAGCGGCCACAAGCGCCCGATGTTTACTTCTTCTTGCCAGCCACCGTCTTCGGCTTCCCCTGCGCGATAGAGGAAGAGTGCCACACAGGCCAATCGTCAGTTCCCGAGGGTGCTGAGAAGGGGCAGAAGAGGGTGCAAAACCTGCCCAGCTCAAAGACCGCAAGACAGCCGTGGCTGCCACATGGGACCGGTCCCCAGCATGTTGCCCGCCCCCGACCCACTCACCTTGCGCGTGCGGGCGTTGTTCTTAGTGTTCTGGCCGCGCACCGGGAGGCCCTGGGATGGAGAACGCCGTGAGGAGCGGGTGTGCACAAGTGAATGTAGGCGGCGAGACGCGACCAACGCTAGGCACCCTGCTGCAGCGTTGCCATCCTCAGCGGCAAACGTGTGTCCTAGGATATGGGCCGGGGAGCCGCGGCGAGCGCCGCTGCTCAGGAGCTGCCTGCCGGCCCTGCCTGCCCTGCCTGCGCCCGCACGCACCGCAATGTGCCTGCGCCCGCGGTAGCAGCCGATGTCTTTCAGCCGCTTGATGTTCTGGGACACGATGCGGCGCAGGTCAGACTCCGTGGTGTACTTGGCCACCTGTGGTGTGTGTATATGGGTGTGGTATGTGTGTACAAGTGTAAGTGCGTGCGTGCATATGTGTGTGTGTGTGTGCGCGCGCGCGCGCGCACTGCCTGTGCGTGTATTCAAAGGGGGCAAGGAATGGACGCATGGACCGCCAGGGTGTGCAATATGATGGGGCCCACTTCCCAAACATTGCCGCACCAATCACGCGTCCGCCACTTGAGGCGGACACAGAAGACTTGCATGTCTTGTACAAGGCTTCCGGTCCAACAACACACACACACACACACACACAAAAGCACAAAACACACACGCGCGCACAGGGGCGCGCACACAGGCACAAGCACGCCCTCACGACCCCACAGGCATGCGCGAAACAGCGGGCCCCACCTCCTCGCGCAGCTTGTTGATGTCCTCCTCGTTCAGCTCGTACGTCTTCTTGTTCTCCACGCCCTGGGGTGCAAACAGCGCCGTGGGGGAGGGGGAGTGGGTGACTGGGGATCCGAAACAGACAGGGTTGCAGCATTCCTACAGGCCGAGAGGGGACGACTCTTTGGCCTGGCAGGGCCTGTGGTGGAAGCTACAGCTGTTCAGGATGCCGTGCCACAGCTCTCGGCACGTCTGCCGGCTCCTGCTGGCCGGCTGGGATGGGCACTGCTGGGTCTCTGCCGCTGCTGCGACGGCGGCAGCAGCTGGTGGTCAGCTGCCGGCAGCCGCTGCTGGCCTCGCCACGTCTACAAACAAAGCCGTTTGTACAACGTCACGCTGCACGCCAGGGCTGGTCAGGGTGCGCGGCTGCTCTGAAGGCTGGTTGCAGCCAGCACTGCCCGCCTCGTCCACGGCTGCAGGCTGCCGTTGCCGCCGCACACCGTCGATGCCTGCGCACTGCGCTGGAGCCGGGCCGGACGCAAGGCCCGGCGCCTCACCGTGTCGCGCAGGATGCCCTGGGCGGTGGTGGAGCCAATGCCATAGATGTACTGCAGCGAAATCTCAATGCGCTTGGAGTTGGGGATCTCCACGTTGTTCACACGCAGCATTTGCACGCGCAGGGGGGTCCGAGAGGCCGTCCGGGCGACCTGCGAGCAGAACGCGGCGACACGCGCCCAAGTACGACAGAGGCTGCTTGAGACTGGTGACTGTTGCGACTTTGACAGAGCTGGGCACGCGCCGCGGGCTGTGCGCCTCCACATTGTGCACCGCCCCCACGCTGCTTGCGCCGCCGCTGCCACTCGTCACCCCTCCTTGCAGCGAGGCTGCCAGCCTCGTCGTGCGCACATTGGGCATCAGCATTGCCGTGCAACGTATCGACAGCGCTGATATCGCCGCGGTCTCCACACAGCCACTCCCCCATCACCCGCCTCGATCGGCCACAATGGCTTTCAAGCGGGCCCAGTCAATCCTGCTCTCACCTGCACGGGCCTGACAGCCGGCATAGGCCGAGCCGCAGTCCCAAAAGCCCGCCGCTGGGCCTGCGTGAGGGAGCAGTGCGTGGCCATTCGGTCTGGGCAGCCCGCAACCCTCGCCGTCAAATACAGTACGCGCATATAATGCGTCAGGTTGCCAATGGGCTACAGCGGCGCACCAGGCTCTGCATGTTCAGCATGGCTGCTGCTGGGGAGGCCGCCTGGGGTCGCGCCCTCTAATTTACAGCGTGATGCGTGTTTCAAGAAGCTACCCGTCGCCGTTGTATTGCTTCCACAAGTGCGCACACAGAGACAAGGGACACTTGCTCGTTCCTAGTGGTTTCGACTCTCAAGTCTCCACTTGGCCGCCCTCAATGTGCCCCCTTTATTATCAAATGCACCAATAATCACAAAGGTTTCAGTTGCACGTGATAGGGGAATGTATGCGAGCTGGTCTGCCATTCAGGTGTTGCGGCCATGTGGGCGCAGGCCTGTCTGCAACCACCACGTGTGCAATGCCTTTACTCATGCGAACGCCGCGGACTGCGAGCTAGACAAAGATACATTATCTCAGGCCTCGTGCCTGGGTGGCAACGCCATCATGCACAGTGCTGGTTCCTGCGGGTGCACCACCCGCATTCCCACCCTTCCACACCAAGTTGATTGGACTTGAATACGCATGGTTTACCGCCTTGTCGTCACTGTGTGTCCTTGCTGAAGCGTAGACATGCAGAGGTTCTCGTGTGCACACTAAGGAGCAACAGCTCCTCTCTGTGTGCAAGAAAAACAGCGCAGCGGCGCAGCTGGCGACTCCAAGAGAGAGCAACATCGTATGCAGGTAACACTTTGGAGTATCTCGACACGATCGTAAGGTTTCTTCGGGCCAGTGTTGTTGCGGCCAGTTCAAAACAGTGTGCCAGCCTTGTCTCGCTGCCACATCACGTCCTGTTCCACCATTACCCTGCTCCTTGCATCAGCGCTCAATGCCGTAGGTGCGCATGTGACCATAAATTCCTGCCCCAAAGGACAAACCGTGGAAATGGCTGCAACCAGTGTCGCCATCTGCTGCAGCCCCCTGCCCTGTATCCTGTATCCCCATCCCATTGCCCAGCACCCGCGCAGCTGCCACGAGTGCCTCTGCTCCTCTTGTGCGCACACTCTGTCACGGCTCGGTGTTCCCAGAAGCATACGTCTCTGAGAATCCTTCGCAATGGCTGCTCTCCGTGCCTCCTCCCGCCTGGGTTGCACCGGCCTCCGGGCGCCCCTGCCCTCGCGCAGGGTCCTGGTGTGCCGCGCCGAGAACAAGGTGTGCAGAATCAAATCATTATCAGAGAGCCGTGTGCTGAGACAGTGCGGTCGGGGCAGCAGATCACGGACCCACGAACAAGCAACTCGGGTTCCGACCGTCCCATCACCAGATCTCGGCGCGCATTGTCAGTAAATGATCGCCACGGACATGACGTCAGCGGGCGGAGGGCAGCCCCGGCCAGCAGAGGCTGTTGCGCCGCCCATCTGCGTGCGGGGTTCAGCGGCAGTGGGTGCCCCCCTTTGCCCACCATGGCCGCTGCCGCCCGCGTGCGCCGCCCGCTCGCCTATTGCAGGCCCAGGTGATCCAGCCCCTCAACGGCGACCCCTTCGTCAGCATGCTGGAGACCCCCGTGACCTCGTCGCCCCTGGTGGTGTCGTACCTGTCCAGCCTGCCCGCCTACCGCACCGGCGTCTCGCCGCTGCTGCGCGGCGTTGAGATCGGCCTGGCCCACGGCTTCTTCCTGCCCGGCCCCTTCATCAAGGTGTGCGCGCATGCGCAGCGGCGGCGCCAGGGTCGGCTCAGCTGGGCGCCCGATAAACATAGTCGCTACGTCTTAGGCGCGGGTGGCTGCTGGGGAGTGGCAGCGCAGCTGCTGTGGGGCCGCCGCAGCTGCTACGAGTGCGGCGCTCAGCGAACTGTGGCCAAGTTTTGGCACAGCGGGCTTGTGATCTCTTTTCAAATTCAAAAAGCCGGCAAATGCCGCGATGCGCAGTGCACAGACGTGGCTTCTTGCTACCTCAGCCGTGCACTCTGTCTTGCCGCGTGGCATCCCCCATTTCCCCCCCACCTCTCTCACATACATGTGCGTGCCGCCTCACACCCCTCCCTCCCAAAACAACTCCCGTACGCCCCGCAGCTGGGCCCGCTCCGCGCCGTCGAGGGCGTCGCCGAGATCGCCGGCAGCCTGTCCGCCGCCGGCCTGGTCGGCATCCTGGCGCTGTGCCTCGCCCTCTACGGCGGCGCCCAGTTCCAGAGCCAGCCCCCGCTGGGCGTGAAGACCCTGTCGGGCCGCGCCGTGCAGAGGGACTCCCTGCAGACCGCGGAGGGGTGGAGCGGCTTCACCGCGGGCTGGCTGGTTGGCGGCCTGTCGGGCGTCGCGTGGGCCTACATCCTGACCCAGGTGACTAGGGTCGACGATGAGAAAGGGGTGCGCGGGGCCGAGCGGCCATGCCTGGGGGGAGTGCGATCATGGCGGGCATAACGTCGGGTACACCCTCTCTCTCTGAAACAGCGTTGACTCATAGTTGACTCACGCCCCGGCCTGCCGTCGTCCAAACTCCCCACCCCGCAGATCCTGCCCTACTACAGCTGATCGCCTCGCCCCTGTTGATCGTCTTTTTGGGAAGGAGGTTGTTGAAGCCTGCTCGTGTCGCTGCTTGCGTGTAACCGAGAGCATCTAAATTGGTTTACTGGGCTGCCCCACAAAGAGCACGGAAACAGCCCGGACCGCTTGCCGATGCACATGTGAGCAGACGAGCAGCACCAAAAGAGCACAAGCAGCCAGTTCACTAAATAGCCGATTCAGCAGAGCAAGTCAATGCCCACGTGGCTGTCAACAGTGATGGCACGAAAAATACGGGTCACAGGGTTGGTACAGCACTGCAGCCAGCCGCCAGAGCGCGCATGTACGGAGCCAGCATCACCGCAGCAGCGGCTCAGCCCGCAGCTCAACCCGCGGCGTCACCACCTCCGCCTGCGCCTGCACCAGCCGCAGCTCCTTGGCCCGAAACACCGCCGCGGACCGCTCCCGGCTCGACAGCAGCCCCTGCCCCGGAGGCCCGTCAGCGTCTGCGCTGGCTGCCAGCGCCGCCGCCGCGGCGCGCTCCTCGGCCGCGACCGCTGCTGACGTCACGCGCAGGACGCCCTGCAGCCCCGCAAGGGCCGTCTCCACGGCGGTTGCCAGGTCAGCAGGGTGGCGGTGGGCCCACGCCAGCAGCAGCGCCGCCAGCAAGTCGCCTGCAGGGGGGGCAAGAGGCGCATGCAGTTGCAATGCGCGCGAGCATATTTCGGGAGAGTGAGGGGTCCACCGAGGATCCCAGCTGATGATGTGGGGGGAATATAGAAAGCAGGGCGGCAGCTCTATGGGAGGGTGCAGGGGCATCAGGCGCTCCAAGCACTTTGGGGCGTGGGGGCGTGTGCGCGCCGCCGCCCTCCGGCTGGCTGCGCCCATTGTGTTGCGTTGGACAAACATTGAACAGACATAGAGGGAAGGAGTTGCTAAAAGAATCAAACACATATAACTTGTTCATTGGATGTCCATTTCTTTGTATCGATTAGCCAGGCGCGCGCCTGTGCCTGTGAAGTAGGCGTCCAGCTTCGGGATGCGCACGCGGAACGCCGAGGGCCGCCCGGGGAGCTGCTCCCGTTGCGTCGACGCGACGAGCGTGATGTGCCGCCCCGGCAGCAGCGCCGCGCCGCCCCTGGTCCAGGGGTCGTCCTGCTCCCCTCCTGTCGCGCCGCTGCTGTCACCCGCGGCGGCGGCCGGGGCGCTGCTGGCGCTGCTGCTGCTGCTCGCTTCCATGCTGGTTATGATCTGAGGCGGACGCAAACGGGAGGGCGCGGCTCACTCAGGGGGAGTTTAATTCATAGTTGGGAGTCTTTGGAGAGGGCCACCTATGCGATTCAGCTGCTCGTCAAAGACTCAACGCGCCTCCGCATGATTGCATCTCCCACTGGCCCAGCACATGCCGGCGGCCACGCAACCGCCCCCGCCCCCGCCCGCGAGCGCACCACAGTGTGCGGGCCCATGGCGTGCAGCGCGTCGCAGACGGCCAGCGCTGAGGCCTCGTCGGTGATGGCCCGCCCGGTCAGCAGCTCCGCCTCAAATTGGTTGGGCGTCAGCACCGACGCCAGCGGCAGGATGGTCGATCTGCGGAGTGGATGCGTATGCACGTGCATGCATGCATGCATCTTCACATCCGTGCTTGCCAAGGGATGACAGAAAACGAACATGTCGGCGTTGCCGCAAGGGAGACCGCGTAATGACGTGTGCACGTGGCGCGGGGCCGGCGCAGGGTGCAAGCGGCGATCGGCGGAACCGGGGCGCTGGGGTGGGCCACCTGTAGGCTCCCACCAGCTCCTCGCTGACGTAGCACTTGCCCTCGTCACCCAGCACGGGGTCACACACTGCGGGGACGTGCGCGCGCACGCATAAGCTCAAGTGTGAATCTATGTGTAGGGGTGTGTGTGTGCGCGTGCATGTGTGTGTGTGTGTGTGTGTGCCTGCGTGCGTGCATGCGTGCATGTGTGTGTGTGTGTGCGCGCGCGCGCGTGCGTGCACGCATGAATGCGTTCTCAGGCAACTGGCACATCAGGCGTGTTGGCAGTCCAGCAAATCACAACAGTCGCAGCTCAGGTCACAGCATGGCGGCGTCCAGTGTTGCGAGCCCTCCCCCCCCCCTCCGCGCACCGTAGGTGAGGTCGGGGTTGGCGGCGCGCAGGGTGCGCGCGACGGCGGCGATGGCCTCTAGGGTGCTGAGGGTGCCGATGTAGCCTGCGAGGAGGGCGGGTGCGGAGCAACACAGGTGCAGCGCCTGTAGGCCGCGGCCGGGAGGTTTGAGTGGCTCTCGGGTGCAAAAACGCGTGGAAGCATCGCAGCGTGGGGGATGGCGGGAAGCTGGCGCAAGGGAGGGCGCACCAGTGAGCAAGTGGGTGTGGCGGATGAGGCCGTTCGACTCCAGCCCCTGCAGGGGGTGGGCGGCGCGGCGCAGGGGTGCTGAAAGGCGAGCGGCGGAGCTTGTCATTGCTGGGCGCTGCGGGCTGCAACGCTGCAGCTGAGCTGCCTGGTGCCAGCGGACCCGGCGGCATGCAGGGCCCGCCTGCGCCCATCTGCGCCGCTCAGGGCTGGAACCACGGTCCTGAAGAGCCCATGTAAGCGACCCCGGCTCCGCGGCGGCGCAACTGCCAACCGCGGCAATGGATGAGAGGCGGGCCCGGCGCACAAGGGCGCCCGCGTGCCCCCCCACACACACACACAAACAAAAGCACACATGCCTCCCGGAAAATGCGCGTGAGTCAGACCTCTAGCAGCTCTCTGAGGTGGTCGCCATCAAAGGCCTTGCCGCGGATTGTTGGGTAGCCCGTGTGGTTGGAGAACTGCGGGGCGGCGGGGGCAGGCCGGCCGGCCGGCGGCGCGAGGCGTTCGAGGGAGGCGTTTGAGCGGCGAGGGAGTCGGCGGCACTTTCCTTCTGGGCCAGCCAAGAGCGCAGCTGGCCAGAGCCAAGACCCAGAGACAGGGAGCTTGGCGGGGCGGGGGGCGCCGCGCCAGCCGCCAGCGTGTGTGCCTGCGGGGAGGGACCGCGGCCCTCGGCCACAGGCGCGCCGCGTGCGCACCTGCACCGACATGATGGGGTCGACATCAAACCCCAGCAGCTGCAGCGGTAGTGTAGCACTCTTGTTGCCCACGTATCCTGAGACCACGTGGGACTGCGGCATAGCGATCGGACCGGTTCAGTCGCCGGCAGCGACCCTGGGGCGCAGGCGCGCGGCGACCCCAAGCGGCGCTGGGTTGATGGGCTTGCCTGAATGCTCAGCACTCGTTGCGAGAGGGCCGGCACCGCCGCCGTGCCTGCCGCCGCAGCCGCACTGGTAGCCATAGACCGGATGTAGGTTCTGGTTATTGAGTTGCCGAGCAAAGTGAACCGTGCTGCTCTGCGCGCGTGTTGCAGCGTAAGGCCAAACGGTCTCATTCGGCGCCCGTTGAGGACATATACATATGAGATTGCCTAATATACAAAGTACCGGTTTTCTCAAGCCGGCCACCTTGACACATTGTCAGGTCAGCTGGTCAGCTGTCTGCCACTGGTGGCACACGATCGATGGTGCAGCGCCGCTCAGCTGCTTTCCGGCCAGCACAAGCAGGTGCGAGAGGAGCCAAGGGACCTGGTTACACGTGAGCCCTTTGAAGCGACCTTGACACCACGCCGTGCTGGTGGTGGATACACAGCCGCGCACCACAGCGGCGGATGGACGGATTCAAACATGCAGCCGCACCCGGCCAGGGCAGGCCCCGCCGCCTCACTCCTGCAGCAGCGAGTCGATCATGCTCATGTGGAGGAACTCCGCCCCACCGTCGTCCATCTGCGACGCCTGGCTGGGCTGCTGCTGGCCGCCCGCGCCCCCGCCCCCGGCCGCCCGAGGGCCCCCTGAGGGCACCGCCGCGGCCGCGGCGGCGCCCTTTGAGGGCAGCGCGCCATACCCCAAGGCGCGCTGCGCGGGGGCGGCGGCGGCCTGCGCGCCCGCGCCCGCCGGCTGCGCGGGGAAGGCGCTAAAGTGGTCCGCACCGCCGCGGGCCGCGGGCGCCGCGGGCGCGGCGCCGACAATCACGCCCGCGCCGCCTGCTGCCGCGGCCGCAGCAGTGACCTTGCCACTGCCCAGGGCCCCGAGGCCGCCGGCGCCGCCGCCGGCCGCGCCGGCGCGAGCTGCAGCGGGGCCCGCCGCGGCGTTGCGGTATGACGGCGTAGAGGGCTGCGCTGCGGCCGCTGCCGCCCCTCCGGCTGCCGCGGCCGCCGGCACAGTCGTGTGAAGCACGCCGGCCAGCCCGTTCTGGGCCACTGTCGCGCCCTCCACAGC